AGTGAAAGTACTGACGAAATAGGAGACAGGAAAGAGAAGCCGAGGTGGACTGGAATCGAGGATGTTATGTTTGCTTATAAGGAGTATCTAAAAGGTAAATGTTTTATTTTATCTATAATACAAATTATTTCATTCTGTAATATAACGTAATGGCATTGCACACATATTTTTTTTATATGTTTTTAGAAAAGACACTGGAGAGAAAAATTCTGACGAGTGAAACATCGAAATTGATATCACAGTACAACAGTTTGCATTCCGAAGCTGTTCAATTAGAACGGAAAATTTATGAACTCCTGTCTGCCAGAACGGCTCTTGATTCCGAGAGACGAATGCTCAGTGACAAAATCGAAAGGATCAACGCACTTGTTAGGAATCTTAGATAGCGTTATGTAACGCACAACACGGAAACTCATTCATCTGTGATATTATCAGCGGGTTAAGGGCCGTTAGCACGTAATACCCACTACTAAACGTAACACGTAGATAAGTAATGGTTAAGGAAAGACTCTTGAGTGACCAAATGTACAGCGTAATTATTCATATTATTTTGCGAATTTTATTATATTAGTACCATCGGCGATTGATCGTACCGGGAAAGCGGAAAACTTTGACTGGTTCACAGGAACTAACGATTGCGTTCGGTTTAAAACACTATTACACTAATTGATAAATATTACTTTTGCGCACATCGCCAAACGTTGACGAACGTGCCGATCTTCGATTATAAATATGCAGTCATATCAATCGTACGAGGATATGTATAAAGTTAATTGTACAAATCAAATTATATCCTATCCACGTGAAAAGACAGTTTTTACGACTGCAAATAAAACGACAAAGGCTTTCTAGTTTCACACATCTAACGGCTCTTATACTCCGAGCATAAATAATTGTAATTTGTGTGTATCATAATATTTTAATGGAGAAGAAATAGACAAATGGTGTATAACTTATTTTATTCAGCGTAATGTGGACCTTTATGTCGAGTACTTGAAAAAAAACTGATATATCATGCAATTTATATGTCGCTCGATTGATAAAGTTAAATAATGAGTAGAAGAGAGGACATTATATAGGGTTGAAGAATGACGAAGGATCGAAGAATGATATCGACTATATCGAACTGGCAAAGTATCAAGAAATCGCTTGCATCCAATAATGATTATGTCTTTATTTTTTGTTTAATAGCGACGAAACGAATTTAATTAGTAGAAATCAAATCGTATAATTGGAAGATTGCGAACATCGTGAATCTCTGGACATGAGAAAAGGGAAGATTTTTTTTTTAGACAACTGTTAATTTAAATCAATATCAACGACACGAGAACTCTAGTCTACAGACATGTTTAGACTATACAGGAAAAATTGCGCATTGATACGTGTAAAATCAGAGTAGTGAGCAATCCTTCCTTTCGAATATGCCATTTATTATAATAAGCAGAAGGCCAGTGAAAATATGGGATGGAGCATTAATAACGTTATGTAATGATATTGCGGTACTTACGTATAATGTGACTTAATTTTTAAAGAAAAAAAAAATACGAAATTGTGAGACTTTGCGCGGAGCACATTCCAGAAAATTACCCGACATTAACATTCCAATACCAGTCATTTCACCAAAACAATCGGACCTTGAACTTGACACAAGTTGAGTGGCGAATAAATTTTGGAAAAAGAAAACTATTATATATTGGTATTTTTCTGTTTGGCGCATTCATGTCATGTAGCTGCGCTCTATTTTTCACATCTCGCAGTGTAACCTTGAAACTTATCGTTCTCTGCTCTCTGAGTGCATCATTTGCCAATTGCACGTTGTAGGAATACCATTCGCATGTTGCATGCGATAAGACCATCATTTATAATTTCGCCGTTTTGTTCATTGAGTGCCTAACATTTCTCCTTACATTTGTACATACCATTATTTTTATGTATTATGTAACAAAGTGGGGCCGCGCCGGTCTCAGTCAACAAGCCAGAACAAGAGCCTAGGAGTAAATTGTTGAAAACATGATCTTGTGGCGTATTTTTTTCCACATTCGTCGTTCCAATACTTTCCTACAAAAATCCAATTTTTAAAAATAAATTATATCTATTAAAATTTTTATATTATTGCACTTGTGGAATATACTATTGCTTTTTTATTTGCGTATCTTAAATTTCTTGCATATTTTGTATAGATATTGCGAAATGAATGAAAACGTTTCTTTTTATATAATCTTGATATTTATATTGAATAATATATTTCAGGTAATTTATGATTATCGCAAATTCAATGTGTATGTAACTTGACATTATCTCATTATAAATTTCGAATTGTAAAAATTTCTTGAAGATTATATATTTCTTGAAGATTGAAGATTATATTTTATTTGAAATTTGCGAAATTTAAAATTTGAATTTTTTACGGGAAAATAATAGAAGGTCGGTAAGTTTGCAATATCAGTAATCTACAAATGATAGCTCTTTTTAATTATCGATTGTTGATAATAAACTAGTGCCATAGCCCGCTAGATAATCCCTGAAAGCGATGCGCTCTTTATGAACATAGAAACTTGAACATAAACTACGAAGTCAAATTCACAAATATTTTCAGTGAGTAACACAGTAATATGCACCTGTATGCACAATTTCTGGTTGCATTCCGTGCTATGTGCACGAATGTCGATAACACGTATGTTGTAACGCAAAACGTTTATGTATACATATATTAATAATATACATAAATAAATCTTTATTAATTATTATATAATTAATAATATATAATATTTATATACATATAACTCAGAAAAAATGTCAAAATAATTGATTTTCCCAAACTAATCATCATGTGCAGTCGATTTTATAATCGATTCTTTTTAAACAGATATATGCATATATTTATAATAAATACCCAGGTAGCAAGCACACGTCATTTTGATTTTCCAAACTGATTTTTGATCATATGTCGTCAAAATAATACTAATAATACTAATTTGCTACATGACTTTATATTGACATCTTGATATAACATTATTTTAACGTTATATTTTAGTCATGAATTGACAATTATTTTATTATTACTGTGATTAGTCAGTACATCAATCTCATAAAAAAATCTTTTAAAATTTTTTATATAAAATGACTTTCGCTTTCTTCTGAAGAATAGAATGGCTGTAATTGTTCAATAATGCTCTCGAATCGATTAATCTGCTTTATTTGACAACGCTATTAAATACATTATTATGTTAAGAAGAAAACGTCAAAATGTGATACATGTCATGACGTCAAGAATCTGTGACATTAGATCGTTTCTTTTACGTCATAGAAACGTCAAGAATAATCCATGATCAATTTGAAACTTCAAAATGACGTGTGCTGCCTGGGTACTTATTAAAATGTAATTTATTTTATTAGATCAAATCTAATTCATTCATTAAAATTTAATAAAAATCTAATTCATTTTATTAAAATCAAATTTTCGAAAAATATAAATTATTTTAATTATTATATTTGAAGAGAAAAACTGTTTGTGTAAATTAATTTAATATTATTATTTTACACCAAATTTTCATATTCCGAGAAAATATTCTTTTAAATTTAGAATTTTTTAAATTTCAGTTTATTTAATAATAGAATGCAAAAAATGATGCATATATGAACGTGAATTTTGTAATATTCTAGTTCATTAAAGTATTGAAGTATTATACTAGATATATAAATGAATTGAAAAGCATTTCTATTTAAAACCTAAGTATATGGCAGAGCAATAACACTAAGTACAAACTAAAAAATAGTACATTATAAATACATAAATATCACTTATATTAAAAAAATCAATGCAAAAAATAATCAATCTAACTTTTATCAGTTTAATATTTGATTAAATCAAATTAAAATATATATGTATTTGATATATTTGTTTTTAAATTTACATTATATTTTATGTGTTATAATACATAAATATTACATTTTAATTTATATTACACATAAAAATATGCGGACGTTTAATAGATTATAGTTCCTTTACAACAACAAACAAAAAAATGTTAGGTATGGAAGTTATATATATGTGGAAAATGCATTATAAAATCAGTCATAAATACATTATTTATTTGTATCAATTTTGAATGTATATTGTCGTATATGCAAATATACATGTATATTAAATCTCAAATAAAATTTATATTAAGCTTCACTTAAAATTAATTATATAAGTGAAATTATTGATATATGCGCGGATTAACTTTATTCGACAATATCTTTTAACTGAGATGTTAAATAGCACATATTTACCATGCTCTTGTAAAATTTATGCTAAGAGGGAAGAAGGAGTTACGTTTTTTACAAGCTTGTTTTTAAGAATTTGTGCATCAAAAACTGATTGATATATTATGTAATATGAATCTCTATGTGTGATATACATATTTCTTTTATACTATTATTATATCTGTTTTTAAGTACGGTTTGTACTAGTAACATATATATTCAACATAAAGAATATAGATTGTTAAATAAAAATCTGAGTATCGTGTTTAACGCCACACTATCGAAGACGCTCTTATTGCATGTAATTGATCGCTTTTAAACGAATACCAAAATTGAAGACTATGAGATATGATTATTACATCACAATTATCTTAGAAAAAATTTTATTATAAAAAAAATTCCACAGAGATGGACTTTAGTGTATGTCTGTATACTAGTAAACTAATGCCTCTTGCGATTTCTAAAAAGTAAGGAGATATTTTTGTCGTTTCTAAAATGATTGTTTTAATTACATGTCCTTAAAAAATAATCCTTTTTAAATAATTTTCGTTATATATAATTTTAGCTACAAATAATAAATTACAAATATAAATCGGTAAGAGAGAGAGAGAGAGAGTTATCTTTTATTTATTCGAAATGTCTTTATAGTTTTTGAAAATGTTTGAAAAAATCTACAAATTATGTAAATGAATTCATGGTTGGCAAAAAAGAGTTAATAAAATTTTTTATTTATATTTTAACTTGTACTTCAATGCTTTATAAAATTGATAACTGTTAGCAATTGCATTTGTACAATATTTGAAACATGCGGTAGTTTCAAATCTTTGTTTATTTTTACGAGAGAAATTTTCCAGAATTTTACAAACTTAAAAACAAATTCTGTTAAACTCTGTTCCGAATATATATATTTGTTATCTCTAACAAATAGTTTATATCCCTAACAAATACCAAAAATTTCAAAATCAATTTTCTTTGTGATTTATCGAAATCTTTATACACTTCGGATTTTAACAAACTGTTTGATATATGTATCTGCTTCGAAGTTACTTTGGTATCTGTCCGTAAGATAAATTTGCTAGTTGCTTCATCAGCAGCTCCTCGATTATTGGCACTGGCCTTGAGATGCTCCTTTGGTCCTTTCTTTTTGATGAGGTATTATCAATGCATCATGTCTTCATTTCATTAAAAAAGGATCACGTAAATCGTGAGATCACAATTGCTCAGATTCGAAGGCCGCATTATCTATGCCATTGATCATTTCAGCCTTTTGCGTATTCTTTTGCGTGTCTATAATTTGAATGTTTTTCAAATTATGGTCTGTCGAGTCCTCGTTCTTATGATTGATCATAGCTTCGGGTTCTTTCTGTTCCTTCAGCATACGGTCTTTTCGATGCTCCGTATACAACCAACTAATTAAAAATACACACAATTTACAAGAGCTTAAAAGAGATAACTGAATCAGCTATATGACTGATTGCAAAGTTTATGAAATGTTGGTAAATAATAGGTAAAAATTTACCGAATACTTACAAGAATTTCACGAATACTTACAAGAATGCAAATACCGCGGGCATTGTCATGGATCCTCCGGCGATGAAAAAAGTTCCGGGGAACGTTTTCATGGTCGCCGCGTAAATAGAGCTATACATAGGTCCGTAAACAAGTGGCATTAAGGACTCGCACACGCCAAACAACGAATTGACTTTACCTGTGAAATTACATAATATATCTTTCAGTATCTATAGAATAGAAAAATTACATCAAATGTAAAAATCAAATGTCAAATCATACATAAAATTTTTCTCGCCGGATTGTTAGTCTAACATGAACGCCTTACACTATAGTTGCGATAAAGGAAAAATTAACATCGTCGCAACGTAAATTGTAATTGCGCCGAAATTATCTAAATTACGTCATTCCTCAAAGCAGCTTGAAGATAAAGACCGAGTTTAAGTTGAAAACATTATTAACCGCAATATTGAAATATTAGTCGTAATTTTTATATTTTAACTCTCTCATTCTACAGAGACAACTTTATTTCAGTTGTTTCTTCAGCCATTTATCAGCTAAAATATTATTATGCAATATATTGCACAGAAAGTCGCTTGATTCATGATTGAATGATTTTGAGAGATTTGCATGATAATATATGACATGTTTCCCACAATTATTCGTTTCTAAAGTTGCGTAAAACTCTAAAGCTGCATAATAAAGTCATTAGAGGTGGCAGCGTAACAAGTACCATCTTATGTGTTTATTCTTATTTACCGAGTTCATCTGTAGGTACCAGCTTGGACGCTATTGATCGCATGGCAATGAAAGATGTACCATTTACAATCTCCACAATAGCAGCTGAAACACATAATTATAAATACGTTATTTATCGGAATGTTGCAATTGTACGTGATATATTCGTCATATATATAGTTGTTACCCTGATGTTAGCCGTTTTAAAAAGACTGACCTACGTAGACCATCCAAGCACTTGTGGCGAACGCGTAGACAAAACTTGCTAAAATTTTACTCATACAGCTCATGATACCCACAATCGCGTCGTCTATTTTGAGGATGTGACTGAAGATACCAACGGAGATCGCAGTGCCTATATAAAAGGAAAATTTCTCAATTAAAAAAAATATTATTGTTCGATTAATAAAAGGGAATTAACAAACAAAAAAGTATTGTAAATTACAATGAATCGTTAAAAAAAAATATTTAAAATGCAAATGAAACTGAATTGTATGATAAATTTATCTATTTCGTCAAATAGAAAGTGTTTGGTAAATAGAAAGCTTATACTCTCTTTCTCCCGTAAATATAACGGTAAATGCTAAAATTCTAAATTGGTTCACCAAACAATGAATTTCCTCGGCAATTTTTATGTTCATATATTATCGTTTATGAGTATGCGTTTATGAGCAATAGTATCATTATACAGCATCATTTCTTCTATTACAAAATGTGTTTAATATTTTCTAACTACTGTGTCTACTCACAATCTGCAAACAATTGCATTTTCAAGGCAATCTCTACTTTCAACAATCCGTTAGAATAAAAACGACGAAGCTAGTGATTCCGCTTAGTAACGATATCGATTCTTATGTAAAATACATCACTCGTCGGATTTTTATCGTTTTATAAATAGAAAAAGAGTCGATTAACTTAATGAATGTGTATGTGTTGAATTACAAAGATAAAAGTAATAGATATTTTAGCTTGCGGAAAACGATTATAGGAAATTATTTTTCAAATAATCTCATATATATATTTTTTACATATAATGATTTTGTCCCATATTTCTATTTTAAAATTAACAGCATTATCAAGAAATCGGAAAAATATTACGTATAAATATTTTACGAGAGTCGGCACGAGAATTTCTTCTCTTGAAAATACATAATATTTTTATTTGAACTGATTTTCTTACCGATCAGATTAGTTACCATGCCAAACGTGGAGAACATGCTGAATGACACTTCATTCCAATTGTATCGATACCGCATATAAAGATAGAGAACTGCCATTTCACCTAAAATAGATAAAATTAATGATGCTTTTATATTTTCATCATTAAAAAATCTCTTTTCTTATTACAGCGAAAATATATAATCGATTAAAAATCGATTAAAAAGCGATATATATAATCGATGTAAAATCAATCGATAAAAATCAATGTAAAAAATTTTAAATAATAGAATTTAAATAAAAAATTTTAATAATAAAATATGTAATGTTGGAAAGCGTAATAATAAAAAACGTATCAGTTTAACTTAATCTATCCGTTCCAATAAATTTTCATATTTTAAATATTTTATTTATGTATGTTTTATTTATGTATGTATATGTAGGTGTAATTTTAGTTATAGTTTCCTAATTGGTCTTTTTCATTATGAAATAATGGCATAATAACTCTTAATGAACGTTAACGACATAATAACTCCGATACATAATTTATTTTTATATAAGATTAAATTTTTATACAATGATTTCTAAGAATCTAGATTTTTAATCAAGATTATGTCAAGCTATTTTATTGTTATTTTCCTCATAAACTTATAGTGATTTCGTCATAGTAATAATTGTATCATATATTGAATATTTTCAGAATCTGTTAAATTTAATAATAAACGAAATATTAATTCCTGTATAAATTTGACAAATTTTTAATTCGTACTTTAATTATAAAGTTTTATCTTAAAAAATTTTTAAATCATGAATATTATCATCCAAACATTTTATTTACATTTTCGATTAAAATTATTTACGCGTGAATTGGTCACTTATATCTTATCTTTATAGCCAAATAAACTATCGACATTCATAATTTATTTGCAGCAAAATATAGTTTTTCAAGAGGGCATCAGAGCACTGTTAATATTACCGCAACATTTTAAGTTACCCAAGCACAACGATTTTCTGTTCAATTACAAACGATTTTCAGACGATTACATCGGCAACAATTAGAATCAACAATTGCTTCCTGCAATAATACTAACGAGTTAATTGCGAAGGTCAAATGCAACGTGATTATTATGTAAAATTTACTCTTTCGTAAAAAAAAAAGAAAGAAGAATTCATGGAGATATATAACTCGAAATAACAATTATTGAAACTACAAGATTTGTTCACCATTTGAATATTAACTCTTTGAAAACACAAATACATACAGACATTTTCAATCAATTCTTTCATTCTATTACAATTGAAGCGTGTTTGCGTGATATGTATGAATTTGTAGAATCGGTGTTTTTTCTGTTAAAATTCATCTTTTCGTGTATAACTCCCAATACTCTCAACACTGTGTATGTACTACATATCACAAGATTATAATATGAAAACATATGATATTACTATACGATATTATGATACGTGAGAACAGTCGGACTTTCACCTATGTATCTCTGATGAATAAAGATCTGAAATTACATCGCCAGTAACCGCGTTTGAACCAGATTAGCATATGTACTGATGAAGACTGCATGGAAATAAGTGCGTGATTTTGCTTGCCTTTTTTCTCTATATCCATATACATGATTTGAAAAATTTTGACATGAAAAGTATTTTATGAAATAATTTTAGATACAATATTATTCATGTAAGATGTATGTTTCTTATTTAGTAAACAAAGTTTATTTTGAATTTAGCCGCTATTTGTGTATTTTACGTTGATACAATATTAATTAGTATTTGTAAAAAAATAATAGACAAGTCCTTATCTGTATAAAATAATTGAGTACATCTCTCTTGAATATTAAGCATAGATTTGAAAATTATTTTTTTAAAAGACATGGAACTGCTGAAATCTATCTGGATACTACATTTATACGGATTTTGCTTGCTCGTTTGCTCTATAAAAATAAGCTATCGGAATAAGCATTAATGCCCTTTGTGATTCTTGCGAACCAAAAGTTATTGAGAGAACTTCCTGTTATGATGACAACAGAGTTAAGAAAAGTATAACATCTTACAGGTATATCCGCGTTAGGGCATTCAAAATCAGGAAGACGCCTATTACACGAAATTGTTATAAGCCCGCTGACGACTGCCCGCGTCACTTAGCAGCTGGGGTAATATGTGCTTAATGCGTACCCAGACATTGTAACGACAGTACCTATATAATTAAATTGTGACAAGGGCATCCGCGAAATGTGCTGGAATTGTGCGTTGTCGCCGTACAAACGTGCACGATCGCATTAAAGTCGCGATAGCGCGCTGTAACAAATGCACGCTAATTGAAAAATTGAATGATCCGAGCGGTCGCGTGCTTGGACAAGCTGTTCTAGCTAAAACTAGAAGCTTTATTGTATTATTAATATACCGTTCGATATTTAAATACAATAGTAATATTAATTACATCATTAACGCTTGATATATCATATGCGATATTGTAAATTTTTAAAAGTCATGTAATCTTTATAAAATTCTCTCATACACACATTACACCATATCAAAATTCACAAACGTAGCCAATGTTTACTATATTTTGTTTTTTCAATGACTGTAACGTAAATTTATTCCAATATTCGTCGATTATACAAGATATGTTTGTATTGGAACATGATTGTGTGTTCGAAGAAATATATTACACACATTTAGAAATTTTATGCAAATTATTTATATTTTTATCGACGCTTAAAACGTAAATTATTTGTTAGAAGGCATACTACGGTCATCTAAACAACATCATATATATTTACGCTCGTGTAAATGTATGCCTAGTTTTACACATGTCTTCTCTTACTTTCCCTTCGCATACGATATATTCACGCTGTCGGACGTAAGTAATTACTAATGGGAATGTGCACGGTTACCGCAACGCGAATAGCAAGATTAACGAGAGTTACAGCAAGTTTTTACCATGTTACGGATGCATGCAAAAAACAATGGATATATTTTATTTTCATTTGTTCCTACACAACATACTTTTACCGATCATTTTATATTTATACACTTGAATTATATTTGCAAACCAAATTATATTTGCATATTTAAATTTATATTAGCATATTTATATTTAAATCGTTAAATTTATGTATCAATAATTGTCTTATGTATCAATAATTTGTTTTTGATTTACATAATATTAGCAAGTAAAATTAAATGCAGTTATTTTCATTTAAAATTGATAAATTTGATATTTCTGAATATAATTTTATGTTTTTAGTTAAAAACAATTAAAAAAATTAATTATAGATGCACACACTCAAATATATGTATACAATAATAAGGTTTAATTATCGATGCTTCTGTTTTTACAATTGTGATAATAACTCCAATTATAAAGCAGATGTTATAAAATAATAGCAAAACAATTCACATGAGATAGAAAATATTTGTTTAATTCCTGTGTTTTGATTTAAAACAATTTATACGTAAATTTTTAGGAATCACGAAAAGTTGCATACTTTGAAATAATTTTCTCGAGCTAATGTTAATGATATTAAAATTGAGATTCATTGCATGCACAATAGTTCTTCTTAATTATTTTCTCGTTTTTTAATCGATCTCTTTCTCTCTCGTATTTATCTTGTATCATCACATTAAATATAGACGCGATGTATCGAAAAAGAAACAAGAAGATATAAAAGATACGTTTAAGGGATTTTATTTATTTGAAAAACTTACCGTAAAGAGGCCCGATGACAACCATAACAATAACCATGAGTACAACGACCCTTTTCTGACGATTGTTTGCTCCCTTTTTGAACGCTACGCGGAATGTCTCCTCTATATGTCTCAACGAAAAAAAGTCCAGAATAGAGGCGCACACCGAGATTCTCTTGTCCTTACTTGGAAGAGTCTTTTTTCGCGCACGTTCCGCACGTACCCTCGGCGGCTCCTTAATAACCACTAATCCGTACACAAAGCTCATTACGTAACACACCATCGAGATACTGAAGACACCGTAAAAACTCAGCTTCGTGTATAATATTCCCGACAGGGCCATGCCGATTGGTACACCAAGGGATAGGAAAACGTTGGCCGCGCCGATCCTAAGTGTTCTCGATTCCACGGACGTGATGTCTGCTATGTAACTAAAGATGCCCATAAACATAGTAAACCAGCCGCCGGTTAACGCAGGCCATAAGGCCTCTAATACAACCGACTCCATGGGCAGCTCGTAGAACCAGTAGGTACAAGCGATGAGAGTAACGCTGCTGAAGAATTCGCCGATGATCGGCAGCAACATGCAAGGCTTTCGCAAGCCGGTGCGATCGCTCCACGCACCCATAAACAAAATCAGAATGGTCGGCAGAGCACTTTGTAGGGGTGTCTTCCACGTCTGCATACGCGCCACCAGTTGCTGAACCGCGGTCTCTTCAGCCTCGTAGCCGCTGGTGTTTCTGGCAGATAGAGCCGAGCATACCTCGTCTGAATAAGCCAGATTCACTCGACATGCCTTTTCGAGAATAAGATTCTGCGTCGCCAGTGAGGAGAGCACGCTAGGGATCACATAACACGCGATCATCGGTTCGACGGTGATGTTGCTAGTCAGGAAGGTCCATTTCTGTTGGATGCTCATGGACTTCCAAGCGATGGCACTATTGGACTTATCGGCCACTGCGAGATTCGCTTGTTTCTTCTCCGGCGTGAGCCCTGTAGGCGCACCGATGGTCGTCGTGATCTCAGACATATCTTTCGTCAAAGAAAAAAAAGGATGTCTCACTTTACACGGAAACGGAGTCAAGTCATGTACGAGGTCTCTTTCTGAATGTATGATCGGTCCAAGTTCATCAAGCGCGATACAACTTTCGAGGAACGGCTCTCGAGGAAGGTGTTTGAGTTCAGGTGCGAGTTCGATTGCGAGAGCGCGAGAGAAATCGCACGGTGGTCTCGCGACTTCGGGCTAATGCACCATCGTGCATTACGAGACGCGACGGTGTTCTATCTATCTCCTTCCTTGCCAGTCACCGCCAGCGTTTCGTGCCACCACCTACTCCCTCTTTTCTCCCCGGATTCGCTTTCCGTTACGCTCTTTCCTACGATCGGCCTACGGCGCCGCTCCTGCACCGCGCGAGTTGTGATCCGCCTTCGTGAACAACGTCCAACCTAGGCATTAACCACACGCATCGAGAGGATAACGTTGACGTTCGCGATCAATCGGCTTTTACGACAATCCGCTACGAGACGTGCGGCTAATGCTTCAGCGACCAGCGAACCGCTTCCGATTCCGCTTCGCGCTTACTTTTTGGGTCAAGGTCAATCTTCGTTGACGATATTGGTGCCTACGATATATCTAAAGGCTGCAGAAGCTTCCCGCTGAATCTTGATCTTTGAACTCTATTCTTCTTCGATGATCGCTTTATGCATCTTATTCATTTTCTTTTTCTGACGTATCAAGAACGTGGCAATTATCTCGACACGTGGCTGTCTTTTATAAAGAACCATAACAAGTTGACACGTAAATCAAATATCGTTTTACGGATGCGTGCTTTTGACAAATGTCATGTTACATAAAGTCTAGCTCACTCTCGATTGAAAGTGACATACTCATAAATGGATGACGAGTAATAATTATCATGTTCATTTTTCTACCTAAGGAATACTTATTCTTGCGTCGGGGAATAATGATCTTTTTCGGTTTCATGTATCTTACGATTCGACGGTACATTGTTCCTACTTGTCAACAATCTTGATTTCTAATTCGCGATCCGCCGATTTCTGATTCGTGATTATACAACTGTGATTCGCCAACTGTGCGTTACTACGTCGAAAAATATATTGCAGAAGCGTTGAGTAACGTAAATCGAGGTCCCAAAATTAGTGTCGAAATCTCTTGAGAAGTGTGAATGTTTTCGTGCTCGGTTAATGTCAACGATTCGTCAGAGGCTACTCACGAAACCGTACGATTACCTTGCCAGTTCTGTTACATAAGCTTCTTTCACCGAGCAATCCATTCGATTGATTGATCACGCACAGTCTTCGATCATTCTCAATAGGTCCTGTTTGTTACGAAAATTCTTCCTTGTCACAATAGCAGTTAATCTGGTATTATCCAAATGTGCTTCTTCTTTTCTCTAAGAATAATACGCGAGTAACTTTGAGCGATTGCACGAAGACAAGCATTTTCAATCACAACCGCGTGATTTTTTAAAATGAGAAACGCAAGAGATTCGTTAGCCCAAAAACGATTGCACTACATTGACTATCGCGATCGTGTCCGATGTCGACAATGTTGAACGGATGATGACAACTGAGCGTAAACAGGGAGCGTCGTCGAATCGTTGCCGCGCGTAACTCGACGAAGCACTGTTAAATGTGACAATTCGTTGATAAAGTAATCGCTATGGTCGCAGTGTTCTACAGTCGAAGCCTATTTTAGACAGGGCCGTTCAAGTGCTATTATCTATGGTGCTTTCAAAGCTATTCGCAATGATTTGTCAGCTAATAAGGAACTTTGGTGCGTTTTTATTCGCATGTGACGAGTCGCATATGACAAGTCGTATATTTTTTGTAATTTCTCATGACTTTGCCATCGTTCACATCACCGATAAATTCTCCGCGAAATTGTTAGTTTATTCGATTTGTTTAAATACATGCTTAATTTGTTTTTGATCGGTCAGATCTTGAGATCTAATATAACATGTCAGCTTTCGAAACTCACGATGCGAAATCGCGAAATCGATGAAAATCCACAAGGTCGCAACCTAGAGAGGCTGAAAGAGACCTAGAGGCGGCCCTGGCTCTCAAGTCTGACGTATGACGCTGTCAAGTGAGTAATGCTCGCAATTCCACAGTGATGCTTATAAAATATTCGATGCAGAGCTGTCACCGGCACCTCTGTCTTGATATTCGACCGACGAGGGTGCATCGGTGGTCATCATCGTCCAAGAGCCATCCTCTTCGATCAACATGGCGGCCGTGTTTGCTGAGAGAGATACGACATTTTTTCGCACTGATTAACCGATTATTTACTGCAATTGTCAAAAAGCTGCTAATACATCGCGCAATAAGCTATTACTATTTCTAACGTGAATATTTGATTGCAGTGCATTTTCGCTCCATTGAACCGCTACTCGAGAATCGTGGATTTCCAACGATAACCATGGAGCAAATTGATTTTAATTCCGCATTCAGCGCATAAAGCTACTTACGATATCTTTTTTCAACTATCGAATTAAGTGAACAGAAACGATTTCTACTATATGCATTTTTTCGATGCGATACAATACATTTGCAATCACACATTTGTATTTCATTTATTTTTATAAACCATTTGTCTTGTGATGATTTTTACTCAGTTATTTATCAGATGACAGAGTTTGACTAAAATGTTTTAATAGCATGCATATTGTTATATATTTTATAATTATGCAACTATTATGAAAGGTATTTTGCCTATTATATTAAAAATTATGATTTTATATTAAAGCAAAGAGAGAGAGAGAGTCGAAAAAAATAATAAAATTGTTATAATTATAATAATATAATGATATACCTTATATTGTATTACTTTAAGCTTTTTGCAATATTTTCAGAGAGATTAAAGATTAAATATTGTTAAGGAATGAATAAAACATATAAATCGATAAGTGAATATTTCGATATTTAATTGCTGCTCATTAAAAACAATATTTGCAATTATTTGCAATCGTCTTATTTATAAATATTTTAAAAACGAATCTTTATAAATGTTTACAGAAACGAAACGCTATTCGTTTGTATATAATTTTTTGCAGGTCCTTCTGCTTTAGTAGCATGTTTGAAGATTGTTGCTTGAATCTTAATTTTCATCATATATATATATATAAAAGAAATGTATATTACATTAAGCATCGTTTTAACTAATGCATGACGAGTACTTCATAATCCTTGAATGACAACTCTTCGCCATCGAATGGAATGTATAAGCATCCGTGACTTTGTTGGACCTGAAAAAAATTATTAAAATATTCATATTATGTATCTTTATTACACATAAATGCACGCACACATACACATGTATATACAGCACACATCAAATTAATAAATAATTATTAATTTTGCATATTAAACACGGAATACAAAAAATCAGTAGATGAAAAGATACATATCTCACAAATATTGAAATAATGTTCTATATTTTAAATATTCTTGTCATACATATGTGCAAACAATTGCTCTGAATCTTAAGGACAGACAACTGCCGAAAAGACTGACCTTGCCAATCGTTTGAGACCCATTATGGAGTACACGGCCAATGTATAAAGGTTCCCCATCCGCTGTTTGACCGGCAATTATGGCATCCGCTGGTACTTCACCATTATTACAAAATTCCCATGCAAATTCGCCTTGGCAAAGGACCTGATAATTATTTTTCGCTAATAATTGATAATTCTTAAACAACAATAATTATGGATGTATGTACGTTGTATTAATAATTAATTATATCAGAGTTTTTGTTCGCTATTCATTATTATTTGATCAGAAAAGATTATCAGATAGAAAAAAAATGTCATTATAATAATAATCTCTCATACACATTCACAGCGCTCATCGCAAATCATGTCTTGTGATTTATTTTCAATCTTTGCAAAAAAACTAATATCTCAAGTTTTTTTAAGTTTAAATGCAGCGATTAACATAACAAGTTTTGTATTTTAACTCATTTATGGTATGCTAAGTAATTTGCAGAAATAACTTTTAATAAATTTTATTCGCTGTTACACAGAAAATCATTGTGTATGTGCATACCGGTATTATATTATTTTAATATTATTATTACGCAAATTGATGGTAATATTATTATTTTTGTAAAAATATCGTGAAAAATAAAATCAATATCATTTCAATGATTCTAATTCTTTTTATTAGAGACACACAAGAAAATATCATATTTTATACCAATGCTCGCCTTTTTGTTTATTTTTATGCGTAACAATAATTAAAAAAATAGATAATTTTGTAACATTGAGAAACAAAAAAATTCTCTCTTTCTTTTTACTTACTTCGAAATTATCTTTAGGATGTTCTTCACCGTTATGACAAACGTAAGCGACGTTTTTATCAGGAATTACTTTCGCTGGTAACATGTCGCCATTGTGGAAGGCTCTGCCAACGTAAATCTTGCTTCCATCAGAATCGCGACCACCGACGACCGCATTTTCTGGCAACGATTGAGTACCGGTACGAGTTACCCACCTGTAGGCTATAACAAAATAACAAATTATCAATGTTGATATGTCAAAATTAATTCGAATGGATTAGCTAAGCTTCAAGTTTTTAATCTTATCTCGCAGAGTATGTAAATAAAAAATTTCGATTATTTAGAATTTATGCTCTAAGAGAGTATTTGTTTTAATATAAAATTCATGATATAGAATCCAGATAAAAAAAGAGAAATCTAATATCCAATATATAATTCTCTATTATGTAACTTGCATATTTGCAATAGTAATTTCCTTAGATAGAAAAAATTCCTTGCTAAAAAAATAATTTTTGAGTTTTAAATAATTGTTAAGTTTTGTTTCCATTAAAATATTATATGTATATAAACATTAATCTTTAATTCTACAATTTATAAAAGTTATAATCCCTTAAGTTTTTTAACTGGAAAAAACTGTTTAAAATTATTAAGATATATACAGCTATTTAAATTAAAATAATTTTAATTTAATTTACGTTAGAAAGAAAAAGAGGAAGAAAGAAAAAAGAGATATAAATCTTATTTTATAATATAATCTTACAAGCATTTAGTTCACAATTGACATAATATATATAATAAACATATATATTAAACTATAATAATGTTAAAATGTATCAACATATGTTTCGTATAATCAATAAAAGTCTTCCAGAAAGTTCATGAAATGATTTCATATCACACACATATTATCTTTACCATCCATATGACTCATATTTTATAAACTGAAATAACTGCTTAAATTTAAAGACATATTTTCTTGAATTTAAAAAAAAATTAATAACCAATAATATTTTCAATACGACTAAAATAATATGTAAACACACACACACACACACACACACACACACACACACACACACACACATATATATATATATATATATATATATGTGTTTCTAAAATATATTATGGAATTATATTATTTTAATGTCATAAAAAAAGAATTTAAAAATCCTTTCTTAAATATTTGAGATATATTTTTAATTATATAAGCAATTAAGATTTAATAAATTTTTAGAAATTAAGTATTAAAAATAAAGATGGCAAATAGAACTTCATTTTTTAAAATTAATTTTAATTTATATATTATAATGAATATAATCCGATTTTTAGAATTTATGCTTCAAATTTTCTTTAATAATAAAAGATCGAAATGCAGAAAATGATGAAAATATTTATAACAAATATTAATAATTTAATAGAATATACTTGTACAGTGAATAAGATAGTAGTAAAAAATTAATTTTATAAAAAAAAACGAAAAATATAATATTTTATATTTCTTTTTATAATGTTATTTTAGCAAAATTTCCTTTTTTCACTCACCTGGCATTATGGAATTTGATTCGACACGGTTGAAGCCTCAATACGAGATGATACTTATCACGGCTGCGACGTGAAATTAACGACTCGTGTAATCTTATCGTTCGTATAATCTTATTTGTCGAAACGTATCGTCCCTCTTTCTCTCTTCCTCTTTTGCTTTCTTCTTTTTTTTGTGCTATATATATGACAGTTTTTCTAGAATTTGACGATATGATATACTTTTCCTCCTCTTTCCACGTATTATAACGTATTGTTAATTGGTAAAACTATCGTAATATAGTTGTTATTACATATAATCAAAAAGAAAAAACAAAAATTTTATAAAATTTTATCTTATGCACGCATAAAATCCAATCTTTTCGATAAAATGTAGATGTTATCTTAAATATATTGTTGTAAATACATTGTTGCTTATAACATTATAATTAATTTCTAATGCATATTTTTAAATTAGAGTAATCACATAAATTACGTAATAAATATATCAAAATTATATATTCTTAAATTAACACTATTTTATTATTGCTTTCTTGTATTTCTTTTGATATTTAATTTATAATAGTTTACATAATTTACATGTTTTTTATGAAAAAAATCCATGTGAATATTATGTAAACAATTACATAAATAATTCTTGTAAATGTAATTTTGATATCTATCACATAGGTTTTGCTGTCAACAGAAGTGAAAGAAAGGAAACGATAAAATAATATAAAAGTAATTTAATTAAATATATAGAATAATTTTTTAACAAGAGTGTTTCCCATTTCATTTAATAAAAACTTAAATTCTATTTAGCAGAAATACATACAAATCTCGTTTAGTAAAAATTTAAATCTATTTAGCAAAGACTCGAACCTTGTTTAGCCAAGATTAGAACCCTATTTAGCTAAGACTCAAACCCTGCTTAATGGATACTCGAACGTTAACGCTCAATGAAAGATGGAGTTCATTGAACAGAGAGTGTTTGTATGTACATACATTTTCATGGTGCTTCACGTGTACTTTTTACTTCGATAGAAAATATAATATCTTTATATATATATCATATAATTTCTTTTAAAATGAAAGTTAAAGTATTAACTAGGAATCCTGATGAATACTTACGAGAGACTAAACGAGATATCCATAAAAGTAAATATACATAGAGATTACAAAGCTAATCTAACCTAGAAGCCTTTTTATAGCTGATTGAAAATTGTTTTATCGTTTACAGTTCCGAGAAATTTCGATCCAGCTTTACATCCTTTCGTAGCTCCAAGAGAATACACGAAAGCATTAAATGCCATTAAACTCGAGAGGGTATTTGCAAAACCATTTGTAGGCAATTTAGAAGGCCATAAGGATGCAATATCTTGCATATGTAAACATCCTTCTCAATTATCTACTTTATTAAGTGGTGCTTACGATGGTGAAGTAAAAATGTGGAATCTTGCTAAAGGAACTTGCACACGCACATTACTAGCTCATGATGGTATAATTCGTGCTGCTACATTTATACCTGATGGGAAACGTTTTATTACTATTGGAGATGATAAAACAATTAAGACATGGGATGCTGCTAATAATGAAAAAGACGAACCCTTAAATACTATTGCCAGCAAAGTATGCAGCTTTTATAATTTTCTAAAATTATTTAAGCTTTAAAAGTGTTTTAAGCAAGTTTCTCTTTCTAGAGAGTATTATCTAATATAACTCATCATCGGACTAAACCTGTTTTTGTCACTTGTGGAGAAGGATTATGTCATATGTGGGAAGAAACTCGTAATGTACCACTTCATACATTTAAATGGGGAGTAGATAGTTTACATGATGTAAAATTTAATCCTGTACAAAAAGATCTTTTAGGTATAGTATATATGACATATATTAAGACTTTTTACTATATTTTTTTATTATATGGATATTCTTTCTAGCTGTTTTCTTCGAGTACAAAATTAAATTCTGAATTAAGTTTCTCTTAAAATAAATTGCTTTCAGCCTCTTGTGGAAGCGATCGTAGCATAATTTTATATGATACTAGAGAGACAGGACCCTTAACAAGAATAGTAATGAAATTACGAAGCAACAAACTTTCGTGGAATCCCATGGAAGCTTTCACTTTTACATGTGCTAATGAAGATTACAAGTGAGATAATAAATTATGAAATAGCTTTGGCTTTTTGCAGAAATTTTAAATATGTTTCTTTTAGTTTGTATACCTATGATATTCGGAAATTGAAAACACCAATTAATGTACATATGGATCACGTGGAGGCTGTGATAGATGTGGATTATTCACCAACAGGAAAAGAATTTGTTTCAGGCAGTTATGACAAGTCTATCCGTATTTTTGAAGTTAATAAAGGTCACTCGCGAGAAGTATATCACACAAAACGCATGCACAGGCTTACCTGTGTAGGATGGTCACTTGATGATAAATACATAATAAGCGGCAGCGATGAAATGAACCTTCGTATATGGAAAGCTAAAGCCTCAGAAAAACTCGGCATCGTAAGTAAAATATCACAGACTCCAGATTAAATTTATATAGATATCTTGGAATAAGTACTAATAATTTATTTTTTTTTTCTATTTTTTGTAGTTGAAAACTAGGGAAAAACTGGCACGGCGTTGCAACGATGCTTTAATAGAGAAATATGCTATTCATCCTGAAATTCGACGTATTGCACGTCATAGACAAGTGCCGAAGCACATATACAATGCGCGAGCCGAATTACGGACAATTCGTGAGAAAAATAAACGCAAGTAAGTACAACTATACATATATATATAGTTGTTTATATTTTTATAAATAATTTTTTAGCCAATATCTTAATAAAATATCGTTTTGCAGGGAGGCTAACAGGCGTTCTCATTCTAAGAAAAACACTGTACCGTTTATGTCAGAAAGGGAAAAGCACATAGTACGTCAAGATAATTAAAACGATATGTATCTTTTTACTCGATATGATTCAAAATACGTTACAATATTTCGAGTTTTATGTATCGATTCATAGTTAATTGATTCATTACGTCATCGATTTTTGTTAGATCTCAGGATATTATGTATGGCAAGAAATACATACTCTTTGTATAATATTTATTGTAATAAATAATTTCTCTTGACATTATATAACGCATCGCGATAATAAATTCATAAAACATTACAAACCTCAAGCAGTGATTAATGTCATGCCTAGTGTACCTTACGACAGCTGATTATGCTGCGCTTCTTGCGCGATTATTTTAGCACGCGATTTAATCGGTTTCCTAGTATAAATATTTCTCTTGTTATTTTAACTTTATATCCCAAAAAGCTTATTAAAATTCTTGTACGTTGTATCATGTAAGATTAACAAATATAAAACTTGTTATTTCTTTTGCACAATTTTTATATGATCTTAAAAAATGTAAATGGTACGTGATGAGAAATTTTTAACAAAATTTCAGAAATACAATATATTTCTATGAGATTCCTCCTTTTATTATAATGACTTAGCAATTCGCGTCGTTAAAGCATTACGCAGAAACACATTGTAAAAGTAGAAAGTCACAGGGATTCATATTCGCACAAATCTATTATACATATTATACATACGATTTTAATGCATCTATATGTATCTTTCTGAGCTTTCTTCCAGCACAATGCGTTACTTATGTATCTCATCGATATGCTATTAATGCACATGTTAGTTAATTTGTCTATTTTGTCTCTACAAGGATCGAAGTTGCGTTATCATTTTGAAAAATTTAATATTTGATACTATAAATTCGGACAAATGTTAAAAGATGTTTTATACTGCTTTTACATTTTCATATATTTATAATTTTATATATATAAATATTTATCGAATTAATCGAACGATTGCATTCGGCTTGCCACTTTACTCGCCGCGTTACAGTGAATATCGCGCGAGAGAGACAGGCAACATGCGCGGCGTCGTGCACGATTTCGACCGTCCGCGCGCAGACGAAAAACGGCCAATTTATATCTCGACTTCCGGACGCGATAGCGATTTCGTTCTTTCTGCATAAAATTCTACACCATTTCGCGGCACTATCGTTTAAATCTCGTCCTGATCGCCCGAGGAGCGGCTGACTTACAGTGAATCTCCGAAATCTGCTTCTTGGACTCACGCTTAAGTGTAATATTTATATATATCGAATAAAAAAGCGAGTCGGAACGCAATCAGTCGAATAGTGAATTAAATATTTATATATACCAAACGAAAAGATGTATCGGAATGCATTCGTTCAATTAATTTGTTAAATATTTATATTTTATAACATTAAAATTAAATGATCGAAATTATGACAACTTCAATTCTTGTTGTCTAATAGTTTTTGTTACAAATGATAGTTGTTATTTGACGTTGTTGATTTGATGAAAAATATGATATTGGCAGTTTTTAAATATTTCAATGTAGACTCGATAAATTTATATAGTCAAAAAGTATATATCAATGATACTTGGGGTGATTAACGGAAATTGTATGCAATTTATAATATCTGATTACCGTGTAAATAAGATAATTATTCACATATAATCATATAGTTTCCATTGTCATAAGTAATTTCGAAATTTCTCTGCACGAAATTTCACTTTCAAGACTAGGATAATTAAGAAATTATAAATTATATATCGTCTATTTTCATATTCAAATTTCGATAAAGTTTTATATATTCTTTGTATGTGTGTGTGTGTGTGTGTGTGTGTGTGTGTGTGTAATCATATTTTTCATGATTCCATGCCTTTTAATTTTCTTTGACTAATTAAATATATATAGAAATATCGAATAAGAATAATTATAATATATATACATATAAACAACATATACACATCAATATTATGAGGACTAAAAACGAAAAATATTTTGTTTAATTTTTCTAAAAGAAAACAATATGTTTTTAATCTTACTTTGTAAGATTACCTTCATACAATAAATTACACTTTTATTATTTTATACAATTAAAGATAATATTTCGCTAATATCTTATGTCTGTTGCATATATTAGGAAATAAAATTTAGAGCAAAGAACTTTTGCTTCGCGTACACATAATTTTATACAAAAAATTAATGAAATATTTAATATTAAGATAATTTATTCCATTTTTAATATTGATCGAAAAGAAGTTGTTTTTCGTTTTCAGTCCCCGATTGCGATATATCATTAGATTGCGCGATTAAATAATAACAGAAGAATCCAAATTCGGTACATTTAAACTCGGTAATGGGCCAATTATATTTGCTTGATTTTGCTCCTAAATTCGAACATTTTTAAATAGTTCGATTCTCGTGGCTAAAACTTTTCCTCGAAGTATGTACAGAAAATATGTCACGATTGTATACTCGTATCTTTCGTAGTTTCTCAAGAATAGACCTTGTTTGATTAATTATGAAGTCTCAAATCGAATAGGGAGAAACGATTTACGACATTTAGCTATTTTACAATCTTGTTGGAATATTTGGCCTTTTCAGTGCCTTTTTTAAATGCAATCAACAATCAATATAATTTATGTTATGTTACGACAATATATTTTCGATTACATTTTATGAAATAATAAATAATCACTTTGGTCGAGTAAAAATTGTTAGATCGCTCTCAGATTGCAAAGTTTTTCATAATTGTGAGAAAGATGAAAATATCTGAATATTGTACGCCATGATATCGATTTTTTTTTCGAAAATAGAGTTTCCATATATAGTGGTCTCCCATTTTAATCCACATATTTTTAACACAATCTTGACATATTTTTAACGCAATCTTTTTAACATAATTTATTTTAATTTTTTTAAAGCTTGAAATTATTTTCTCTGACGTAATTTATCGATGCTTTTATACATTCCTTCAATTACTCACACTCAGTGATTATGCATTTTCTAATAATATATCATATAATCGATCGTTTAGCATCACTGCAATTATCAAAAGTGATTAAACGGTAACAAAATGAATATTATCTTGAAAACGAATATGTTTTTAATTCTAACACAGAAAAACTTGCAAAAAGATTCTAAAAATGATTCTTAAATGATTCTTAATATGCTTATAATAGATACTCTGTTTCGTGAAAATAATTTATTCTGGTTTTTTCGACAAACGAATTGTTTCGCTTCCCCTGCTATAACAAGCTTGAAACTATTTTGCGCTAAGCGTGCTGTAATATATATAAAAAATTGTTTGACATTACTATTCCACAGTCGCACGCGACTAACTACTAGTATTCCACAACACTAGTAGTTATTAAATTATTTCTACGCTACGTATTTCGTATCAATGACTTATTAAAGACTTACAAATATGTATCACTGGTGGTTGTGCGAGTCTTTCGGAACGTTTCGATAACTAAGCGTTGTCTAAATACATACTTTGTATCGTGTGCCAATATCGATTACTTCAGGCAAGATCTCTTCGCGACAATCGCAAGTGTCATTGTCTCTTTACATTCAATGGCACATTAAATTAATCCAGATCCAAATGTACCAAATAATGCTTCGCGTTCCTTTCAATCCATCTTTATATGAATTGATAAGCAACGTTTTCGAAAAAAAGAGGAACACGAATATTCCATTGTTTTCGATGGTTCATTCTAGACATTTAGATCGGCCATCATTTTGCGAAAATCCGCCAGGGTATTGTAATCGGGATCTGAATCGATGTCCGCGAAATCCTTGCTGGAATCAGTCTTGACGAAGCTCGGATTATATCGGCTTAGCGACAACGGGCATGGCAATAATTCCGGCATGACCGAGTGGTGAGTGATTAACGCGGTCAGCGTCGTAAATTCTTTTGTGAAGCCCTGAAACGTATAAAATTATTGAGATTACAACGTTCTTGCTGTTCGTAATAATCGAATTAATATCACGACGATATTAATTCGAAATTTTATTTTTTCTTATTTCCTCTGTAATATCTTTTGTTTTTTTGCAGCTATGTTAAAATACGTTGTTCGATAAAAAAATATGTACAGTTTTATTGAAATAATAGAGAAGAAACTGTTTTTCACATCATATACATATCTGATATGTAAAACTGAACTGTATTGTTTTCATTATTATCAAATTTACATTATGTTGTTTAATTTGTCATACGTGTATTATCACGTTACAGCGCATTGTTGTAACAACACGTTGTTGGGACAAAATGAAATGTGATATTAATGCGGATACCTTTTCTCGTATTTTCAAGTGTATAGCGAAATGTAGTATAACGTCACACATAACGAAACGGTATTAAATGCATTATATACATATGCGTGTTGAGACGCAAGCTTCGTGTATCAAAATTATCGCGTACGGCATTCATTCGGATCTGGTGCTGCGCTGTTACAACGATGCAATTCCGCGCTACTGTATACGGAAAGGATAAGAGAGAAAGAGAGGGAGAGAGAGAGAGAGAGAAAGCGGAGTTTTGATTTCCCTACGGCATCCACACGGCACATCCAACAAAACTCATTTATACTGGTTTCGGAGATTATCAAAGTCTGCGGACTCATTTAATCTATCCTACGCGAGGGGGAAGTTCGACCATTTAAATATCCGAATGTATTAGTAGCTTTATAGCGACATGGTATGCTGTAATGTCTGGCTACTAAAAGCTTCGCGCATTAGCACCCCTCGCGTAGCTTATTTCAATATTAACTCCGCGTATATGCGAAAGGATTCTCTTGCGGTTTCTTCCAGTCTTAGATATTATTCTAAGCGTTAAAAAGGGTTCTATTCTCGCGTAGCCAATGTTGAATTTCATATAACGTAAAGACACTTTCTCCGTGTGTAAAAGTAATTACGTAGTAATACGCAGGATAATACGCATTACGAGTCTGTTAAAACAACCAGCGGTTGTCGGAAAGAAATGTTAATCAAATTGTAATCTCTAAGCGGATTTCACTTTTCAGTTTTTACTTTGCCGGAGGAAGATTAACTTTGATTCTTGCAAGCTCGCGCAAGAATCTCTCGCGAGAATCTTTGCTTTAAACGTGCATTTAAAACTATTTTGATTCTCGATAGGACAGAGAGCGCGTATCGAGAAGAAACTTACTTTAATTTTGTATCCTTTGTTTGTACGCATTATGAGATAATGGGCTATTCCGCTTGGCTGGAATTCACGGGGCACGCGGAGGGAGAGAGCGTAACATCCGGGCTTGCTGGTACTCTCTCGCACCATAAACGCCCCTTCCGGCTCTTGGCTCAATACCTCCAGCGTTATCTCTCTAGAATCACGAATAGTGTTAATAATAAACGGGCGGAATTTTCTTTTTTCTTTCTTACAAGAAATTAAGCAGATTTACTCATCTCATTGCAATGTTTAAAATCGTCCAAGTTACAAATAGTTACAACGTAAGTTACGCTATTAGAACTGAATATCCTCGAGGAATATTTAAAATTAGCTAGAAGCGACGTTGCTATTTTAGCGCACTGAGAAACGCGCGAGCGCTTGCTTGCGAGTGTGCATTACTCCGTTACTCCGATATGTAGTAACGACTCTAAACGCGTGGACCAACCTGGGTATTCCAGCTTGAAACCAGGGCGCTTTGCGTAGCTCGGCCTCCTCGCTTCGATTGTTCAGGCTGTCTGTTCTTTCGGGCAAAGGCGGCGGGGTTGGCGTCGAGCCATGAGTGCTTCCGTCAGCGGGTACCGAGCTACTCGACGTGCTAATTTGCGATCTTCTTTTTGACTTGAATTCCGCCTCCGTACCCGAATCCAGGCAATTGTGTCCTATCCTGAAAAAAGAAACGAAAGAGCTGCCATTCACGAGTCATACGCTCACGGTTACTTTATTGGTTCTGGAAAAGGAAGAGGAGAAACCGGATCCGGCCGCCTCACCTGTTGTTTTCGATGTTGAAGTTCTTCGCGGTGATGGACGCGTTGATGGTGTTGTCGAGACTTTCGGACGGCGGGATCTTGTTGTAGGACGGCCTCGTACCTTCCGAGTCGATGATCGCCTCGTTTATGTAGCCCCCGGAATGGGGCCTGTTCGATGGGCTGGTCGGCGTGCTGCTACCGCTGACGAGCGGGCAGCTGTCATCCTCACCGTTCAACCCAAGAACGTCGCGTCCACCTGTCAAACCCATCGCCAGTCGCTTTATCAGCGGCGGCTTGTCCGTTAGCCTCTTATACGAGTTTAACTCGGTCGGTGAGTTGCTCTCATCGCTGCTCGGCGTGCTCTGCTGGGATATGCTCTTGGGCTCGTCCTCGTTTGTTATGGGTCCTAGAACGTTCGTGAATGGTCGCAGACCGGGAATCGTGTTTGGCGCCTGGAATTATGCGAATTGTCCTTGAAACGCGAGCATTAAGGTATCGATCGTTTCTCCATTTAATTAATCTGATCATTCTTTCAATTAACGTTATCCGTGTTTTACGTTCTTCTTTGCAATTATATGTGTTATACACATATAAAATGAATGAGGAACATCCATTAATTACGAAAAACAAGTTGTATATGTACGTATAGTTAGATCAGCGATAAAACTTTGCGTTTTAAAGTTAGTTTAGTGTAATTGCCACTAGACGAGTTGAAATTCATTTTCGCTTCGTTAGAATGTAACGGGGCAATCCTGTCCGAGTTTGTTGTTATCGTTTGTATGAATTCACCTTTACGCCAGCAAGTCGCAGCGTGGGCGAGCCGGCGCTGCCGAGCTGCACGTTCATATCCGGTGCAGATGAACCCCTTCCAATCCTGGAGGTAGGCGATGTCCGACTTTTCAACCACGAGTTCGATGACGGACTTCTGCAAGCGCCCGCGGCGATCGTATCCTCTCCGGACAGTGATTTGTTCTGCAAGCGAAACGGCGATCACCGCTAAAATTACATCTCGAAACACATCTGGAAACAATCTAACTCTGATCATTCGTGCCTTTTAGCGCAAACGTTTTCTCTTTCCACATGTTGTCATCGGTGACTTGAACAAATCTACCCCAAAAGCACCATTAATTCAACACAATTGTAAAGAAAAATTGAACGATTTAGTCGCGGTCAGATTCTGTTCGAGATTGAATATTTGATGGAATCTCACGATTCCCAGGGTGATTCTGCGGCGAGGAGTACTCTGGGCGGACCGTGGTGAACTGACCGTTTACTTGGAAACGCGACGCAACGTGGGATGAAGTAAGCGAGAGAGTCGGGTCGAATTTATAATTAACGCGGCCCGTAAACGGGACACCTACTACTGGAGTCGGTGGGTCTCGCGAGAGCACGTCGAGAGAGGATACGGTTGTCGTCGTCGTTGTCCCTTTCGACTCGCTCTTGGATATTTAAGAAGCTCTTCTGCGGAACTGTTCCAGCCGCCTTTTCTCCGCTATATCTATATCTCGGTACCGGCATATCGCGGTGTCTATTCTAGTACCCTCTGGAATATCTTGCGTTATCGTGGAAAAAATTTAATAACGCGATTCGAACAAACAACTTTAACGATTTTCATTCATTTCGCGAAATAAAGCCCTCGAAATGAAAGTTATTGCGATCGCGCTAAATAACATTATATAGCGTTTATTCATCTTTAAGGAGATTGAGATGACATCCTTCTGCGTTTCATTTTCTATATACGCTCTTTTGCTTGCACAGCAAACGTTGCGCTACGATACAACTCGGTAAGCAGAATCTTTAAGAAGAGAGATCCGAGAACTGTCCGCTAATTGCTAAAACTATTTAATTGCAATCCACAGCGCTTTTGTGAGAAAACTAGCAGATGGCACGATACTACTAGTTTGTAAAGTTGAGCTTGCAAAGTTTAACTTAACTAATTTGCTAGTCGACGACGACAGAAACAAATTACTTCATTAGCACTTTAAGTTATACTTTCATTAGCACTTTCTTATTAGCCACTGACGTGATAAAATTCTTTTCAATTTTAATTCTTTATATTTTCCATTATTCATACACAAGTGCGTCAGTTTATTTTGATATCATAATATATTATATATTATATAATATTACATAGTATAATTTGTTTTGATATGTTAAAACGTACCCACGACGTTCGATGCTCCTGTTTGTCTTTGCGATAAGACGGCGTCGATCGCGATGAGATTACATCCTGGAGGATCGGTTGGCGCTGAAGCTGCGCCACGTACGCCATGCGGAAAGCATTGCCAACGATGGTGTTCAGCTCTTCCGCCTGCAAGTGAAATAATTCAAGCTTTAACATAAATTTTATTTAATATATGAAAAAATTTTTTGTGCAAAGCTTTCTAATTTTAAAAAATCCCCAAAAGCTCACATCCTCCTCCCCCCCTGTTCATGAAGTAAAATTAATTTACATAAAATTAATTCTTTTGAGAAAAAACTTTTAATATTATTTACAAGACAATTCGATTAATTGTGGGGCAGCTTATAAATTTTTAATTAGCTTACGAATGTGTGCATCACTTTTGATGTTTCATTAAATTAATTAAAAATAGAACCAGTTGTTTATATTATATTGTAATTAAATTTCTGTCGGAAAATTTAAAATATATTTTTAACTTTTTATATAAATATATCTGTGTGTGTATGAAACTTTTATTCGTTACCTTTTTAAATAAAAATCTACAATTGGCTGTTGAAATTATAGTTTAATTAAATATCAAAGGTGATGCACACATTCGTATGCACAAGCCAAACGAGAAAATTACTCGGGAGCAATATTATCAAATGAAGGATTATTAAATAAATTCAGAAAATACCAAAATATAAAAATAATTTCCATTTCATATCGAGCCAATTAGATTTTTTCGGATCCGTAGTAATAAATGAAAAACAAGCGGTCCGAGCAGACGCAGTGGCGCAAACGCGACGTCTGCATACGTAATAAGCACTCGCGGAAAGCCGCAAGCTCAGCTTCGCTCGTACATATGTTTAGAAAGCTCTTGGCTATATACGTTTATTATTTACGCTCGATCGAGGTACAGATGAATGGTGCGAATATATACGCATACAAGGACACGCGTGCGGATGCACAAAAAGCTAGTCGTATATGAATTTACAATAGCGTAAACAATTAAAACAATAAAATTATTCGAGTTATTATTATCGTTATTCGTGAATTGAATAACAATAATAATAAATCGTAGTATTAATTATATTACTGGTTTAATTACTTACGTATTTTAGAATTATATATTTTAATTTAAAAAATACATACACGATGGTCTTTAATGTGCATCAGTGCGCGTTAGTGCATTCAATCAAATTCGCTATTTTTCTTTTTCGAAAACTCACGTGAAAGCCCGATGCATTGTGTGCATTAATGCACGTTGGTCGAGACCGACGAGGGTCTAATAAGAGCACGCATTGTACGCGCATAGAAAACGAGAGCAGCAGATTAACGTTTAGTCCCGCGTCTGGGTCTGCAACTTTTCCTTTCACGGGACGAGTAAAATTCGCGAGGGAGGTATTCAATCGTTTCGCATCGTCGAGTACGTACGTACATCCCGAATTCTAGCTTGCATTCTTCGCTTATGTAGTATATCTGTCTGTGTACCTATCTCTGTGACATTGTTAGGACACTGTTGCAAGCGTTCCGGAAATCCTCGCAAATCCCGACTCCGCGTCGTAGGTGGAAAATATATTTGTCGCAGGCGCGAGCGATAAAAATGCAAACGGAAGATAGAATTGTAAAGCCGAACGCGCTGAGCGTTGTATTTTTCAATGCTGTATTGATTTGCAAGTTCTTGGACTGTATAAAAGATCCTTGACAAAGATATTTTGCCGCTTAAACTGGTCGTTTGCTACGTTGAAAAACGTGAGCGAAGGGGATTACGTAATGTAGGGAGTAATGCGTTTTAATGATACCCTCTCGTGCAAGACAATGGAGGGGCGAGCTTTTAGATTGAAATGCGCAGCATTGCCGTTCTCCCGAATAATTTTACGGTTTGCGGTTTGAGGTCAGGTCGAATGATTCCACTAGGAACGAGATATTTCAATTACGTTTGCGCGCGGAGCAAGGCAATGACTTGAGCTATAATTGCGAACCGGCCGCACGACCGTTCCGTAACTCGCCAAGTCATACCCGAGTAGTCTCCTCCGTCGTTTTACTTACATATAAATCGCCGTTTAGTTACACTACATACTTTTTCACTGCCGTGTATCGTGAAGCGAACATAGAATTTTAATTTAAACAATAGATGTGCTAAATAGAACGTTTTTCTTGAAAATGTCTCCATGTTCGCACATATTCGCTTAGATAGTAGAAATAGATCTTTGTAATATTATTCCATATATAATGCATTTATTGTTTTATATGTTAATTATATTAATTATTCCGTATAAATTATTCCGATCATTAATTTTTAATTCTACCTTCAGCGAATGTGTCAACATGCTGAAACAGCAGGTGTCATCGACAATAGTGCGATTTAGTCACATTCTACAATATGAGAGAATCCGAAGGCTAACATGTAGAGGGAAGTGACGTATGCATCCCTCTTATGAACGCCATACTTTTCAGAAAGGTGAAGAAGAAAACGTTCTGAAAATGAAGCTTGCTCGCAATAGACCAAAAAATGTAGCATGTCATAAGAGAGAATTTATCGCCATTATGGGCGGAACCTGTTCGAGTTCTTTGATTTCGATGCCTCTGGCTGAAATCAAAAATACGGCCCTGTGATTCCCGCCCCGAGATGGAATTTAAACGCGATGAAATCATCACTGGCGACTCTTCTTTCTACCTCTCCGCTCTACCCTGTCCTGGACGTTGACTCGAGCAGGCACTGACCCTCTTCACCACGTTTGGATTCAGATCTATTTGATCGATCAATAACGATCATGCCGCGTTGGTGCCTAAGCAATATCCTCTAGTAACGAATCACAAAAAGATTACATTTCGCGCCAACGATAATTCAAGATAAGATGCTAGAAGATTCAAAAGGATCAGATATCGCGCAACGGAATATTGGCTAGACTAGAGAAGGAAAAATTGTGATTTTTTTGGAGAAGTATTTAATTCATCTTAGTCCATCTTTGATTCATTGTCTGCGCTGATGGTCTTTTTGGCAAAAACACGGGACACGCCAGAATCGAATGGAAAGAGGACCGAAAGGGCGATGGATCGCGCCATGGCTTTGCGCCGGTGCAGCGTGACGGGCTACATTCCAGGCATTCCGCGCGGTCACGGCCATATTTCCAGCTCCTCTAGATTTCCCGTCCCGTGTACCCGGTCTACCACTACCATCGACCATGGTACAAGCCGGTATACTCGCAATAATAGCGTTTGAGGTAGGGATGGTCCTCGTCACACTTCTGAATTTCCCTCACTTCGGTTTCTCTGGTTTACCTCGACGACGCGACGCTCGGCGGCGGATAACGGCTGAAGAGGAAAAGTTCTCTAGAATACGGAGTATAGTAAGGACATTCTCTCTGAAAGCGTCATTATTGCATTGTACCAACGACCACATCGTAGTATATTGCTTCTTTTACCAGTGCAACACTATTGTCATCAATGGCGACACGTAACCATGGTTTCGCATCGTTTCCTTAATGCTACCCTAATTCCCTTGTTTCCTTTTCTACTTCGTTTTGCTATCAAGATTGTACGATCTCCTCTCGTAGATTCCAAACTCACTCGCAAAAAGCTCATAGAGCCATTCAAAATTAACATTGCTAATTATCGCAATCTGTCTCTTATCGCTTCTTTTATTCGCTCGTTCGCGAGCTTTCGTCTGTCTATTTGCAATTAGGTTTGTATTCACTGAGAATGAATCAAATCCCGTTAACTTTGATTACTCCATTTGTATAAAAATGTTAGTTAAAATTAATTTAAAAAAAATTAATTATGATTCTCTCTTCAGTTTTGTTCTCTACAAAGAAAAATGGAATTCAAGATTGTCAATTTCAAAAAAACCATGGATCAAAGTTTTAAACTCCATTCTCGGCATCACGGTCTTCTGCTCATGACGGGTACAGCAGTTTCGAATGTCAAATATTCGATATCTCAAATTTCACCGTTATGCACTATCGTATCAATACGATCTGACTCGTACATCGTATTCACAAAATCGTTAACAAAATAATCATTTTACTACTTTCGTGTCACGATTATATAAATTATTTATTAATGTCAAAATTTACCTTGTAAATTAGATTAAAATAAATTCAAAAGTCTTCCACATTTTTCGAGAAAAAAATATATGCATAATAATGGAAATATACGAAACATAATGTATTTTTCTTTCATTGTGCCCATAAATGTCAGGACTTAATTATATGTATGAAAAGAAATTATTATTCGAATATTGACTATGAAAAGAGACAAAGCGATAATTAATAATGATAATTTCGATGAAAGTTCTATGAGCTTTTGAATTCTGTGAGTGAGTTGGAAACTCGTGAGAGAACTGTACAATCCTGACAGCAGCCGGAATATCGTTTGACCGTGTGGCAAGCACTTTGTTCAGCGTAACGTGAAATCGGTCGAAGATTGGATCGAACATAGTTAGACGGATAAATCGGTCAGGGAACGCAGATGAAGAACAACCGTTGCATAATCTCTTTGATCAGCAATTAACGCCATGACTGAAGTCTGTTGGAGTCATTTCATCTATTTCATACCTAGATGCATGATGTTAAAATATTACTACAATAATGTTGTGATTATTTTGCTTTTCGTTATACGTGGTCAAATTATTTTTTTAACAAATAAAATTTTAAACCGATCCAACACCTTCCCAAGATATTTATTTAATAATAATTCTGTCAAGATTGATAATATTTATATGTATCTGCATTTCAATCTACATTTTTTGCATTTCGATCACTCTAGATTATTTTTTTCCTACAAAATTTATTTTAAAGAGATTTTTTTGGGAAAAATAGTTTCTTTTATTAATATATATATTACTTGAATATTTTTGTTATTGCATATTTATGTTTTGTTTGAATATTTTATCTTTTGAAATCATTAAAAATATTCAAGTAAAAAATTAACAGAAAAATCCTGCTCGTAATAATAGAAAAACTCATCGTGAGAACAACTTAAATTAGCGACGTAACTTGGATTGATTCTACTATTGCGGTTAATCGGCTTATAGCATGAGGGTCCTCGACAATGAGCGGTGAACTTAAAGACGTAGTGATGCGTGAATCGTGCATCATCGTAGGACAATACGCCCACTTTGTGACCCATACAGTTTGCTACTGTACCCTTGAGCATCGTCATTAAACTTATTTCGGCCCCCGGAAATGCACCCTCGAGGACGCATGCGATGCGCGAAGAGGATCGTTTCGTTTCAAATTTCGTGCTTCTTCCTTATCGAATGATGCCAGCAGAGATTCTTAATAATTCGAATACAAAAGTATGTTTGGAAAATTATTTATCATTTTCTAGCATGCAATCATCAAATTAATCCATATCGTAGAGATTATTTTTACAAAAAAATAACGTTCGTAATAAAAAGTTCGTAAATAAAAAAGGTGTAAGATATAAATTGATATTTTTATTAGCATTATTTATCTATTATTTATCTATATCTGTTTTGATATAAGAATACAAAAGATTTTTCGCATTTAAATGTTTGTTCTTTTTGTTATATTAAAATCTTGTACGTTTCTCCTGGCTAGAAATTATATCGGAAATTGTTGGTTAGATTACGACAGACATACATAATGCTAATTTTATGATCGGATTAAGCTCGAATCGATTAAGTCATTACGCACATTGTATTAATCTGCAATACGCATTATACGATGCAGACTTGACTATGGAGTAATCCGTGTGTTCTCTATATATTGTGTAAATCAATCAGATACCATTACCTATTGAGAATGCTATGTAATATTGGCATGTCATTGAAAAAACCAAACCGTGTATCTTTTGACGAACGTCGAAACGTGTATTTTTATTACGAATGCGTAGACTTATTGTCAATGGAAAATGAATTTTCTTCTCTACAACGTTTATTATCTTAATATTCTTATCATATTTTTTTCTTATGAGATATTAACATATATTTAATCATATATATTTAATCCTTTTTCATATATATTTAATCTTTTTTCTTTTTACATATATATTTAATCTTTTTACAATTATTAGTAAAGATATGTTTTAACAATACAAATATATTGTCCGCAGAATTATTTCAATAACAAATGATAATGCGTTTATAACAATAATGAGCAATTGAAAAATGCAAATATATAAGAGCTAATTGAGAATTATATATGTTATTAATCTCAAACAGAAGAAATATAATAAAGATATTAGTAAAAACTTAAAGCGTTAAAATTGATTTTATTCAATTATATGTATTATATAAGATGCAGCATCCTGTACTTTTCTGTGTAAATAATCATGATTATTATTCTTAATTCTTATTATTATTATGATTATTATTCTCTCAATAGTAAGATAAAAGGTAAAACCGGAAGCAGGATTGAATAAAATGATGAAACATAGGACTAGTGCATTGTGTATATATAAAGGGAACGAGCAGTATCGATGTTAAAAATACTTGACATGTGCGTCCAATGCGAGGGGAACGATGCATTCGATGCATTCAATGCGCTCGATTCGAGACACGATGCATGAACATTACATCTCGCGATGTCATTCTTGGTAGGAAGCACGCTTAGTCATTGCAAAATGGCATTTTACGATGGTGTTCTTGCTTGAAATTACCGTAGAAATTTCAAATTGTAAATTGCGTACAAGCAGCCGCATATGTCGTGCACTTGTAGAAAAATATCGCTGCCATTATAGATTTTCTGCGACTGTTTGCTGCTTCTATGCAATTATAGGTACTAACAAAACTGCACATTCATATGACGTGAGAGAAACGTAGGCCTTGATAACAAATTTGCGCATATTTCACTTCTATTTCAAAGTCATTGCGTCAGTTGTTCAATTCAGTTGGCAGATATTATGAGAAAAATGGACATTGTTTCGCAGTAATAAATGTAAAATGTCACATCTGTTTGGAATTGACAAAACCGGAAGGAAATAGCCGATGTGAATGGTACGAGAAATGTATGACTAAACCATTATAAAGTCCTTCACTAAGGGAACTAATGTGTTATTGAGAAGCTACCAGGTATAACTTACGCCTAAATCTCGAGTATATTCATATTGTACCTGAAGTTTCTACGAGAAGTGCTTCGACACGGTAATGGGTCACCTTTTGTGCGAGATGTTCTATTGATGTCGAGAGAAATTTCGTAACGTTTGCGCAACGTGCTAGATGGCTCGTTTTCTCTCCGTCTCTTTCGGTTCTCCTTTTTTCACTGGAAATGTCTTCGTTCTCCAAGACATCAGCTGCGCTAGAATTTAGGGGAGCGATTCATCTTGCGCGGATTCATCTGGATTTCATAAATAGTGAACTCACACGAAACATCATTGAAAACTCGTGAAATTCAGACGGCGTTTTATAAATCCCGCTGCAAAGAATGATCTTTATTCGCGCGGAACGCGATGGGTCGACACGAATTATGGTTTTCTATTGTCAAGTCAAGAAGAACTAGCGGAGGACGGCTTTGGACCGACTTGTCAAAGTCAGCCCAAAGAGATTTTCGTCTGAATCGTTTTGATAAGAATACGAGATGACTCGATGAAACTGATATATATATATATATATATATATATATATATATATATATATATATATATATATAGCATATATTATAGTAGCCAGAATTTCACAAAAGTGCAACAAATAATTATTGCAAACTATATTATGCAAATTATATTAATATGCGCGTTTCTTTTTTAATACTGATTTTTCTTAATGTCTATGACACAGACAAATGCTGGTAAGAATATAAGGACGGATTTATATATCCCTGCTAAAATATCAATGCATACAGACATTCCACCGGTAAAGAGGCAACGAGCGGAGCATCTTGCGCTACAGGCAGCTATATGAAGCCGAGGAATGCGTTCGTCCGATCCCACGGCTTATCCCCCTTCGCTCTCCCTTCTCTCGTTAGCTCTTTTTCTTTCTGGCACGATAGTAGTATTACCTGGCTTAGGCTTTCTCTCTCTCTCTCTTTCGTTCTCTCAGATTCCAGTATGCAATCTACCGACGCGACGTTTCTCTTTTAGCAAATCCTGAAATGTGACTGATCAAACATGTAACTTTCAAATGAAAAAGATACGAGTAAATACATATACTGGTAAATTAGATAACTTTGATAGATATCGAATGAACGAAAATGTTAGAAAATTGAATGACTGAAAGATATGGATAAGCGTAGTTTTAATCGACAGGAATCCAAAAAAATCGATACTTTTGCTATCTGCTAATAATCATATTTCATGCACAATAGCATGGAACAATAGAGAAGACAATTTTCTACTTTTTTTCGTGGCTATTGCACTAGTCATATCTCTGAGGTCATGTTGCGGTACCACGACCTAATCGCGCTCCGTTAATATCGCAAGAGGTAAAGCTGCAAAGCCTAGATGATATTCAAATCATCATTTTATTATGTATATCGAATAACATATTGGTATTTCCAAGATAAGCAATCTGATTCTTCTACTTGAAGTACGACAACATTTGTGAGAATAAACTTGAAATATTCTGCGAGGCAAACTTGCTAGTGATTTGTCGATTGTTTAGACAATTTATATTGCGTTGACATTATACGCGAGATGAATTTTAAAATTAATCAGGATTTCAGGAGAGTACACTTTCCGTGAAAACTTACTCTGAGCTCTTGTGTGTGACCACATCGACAACAGCAATACGACATGTAATCGGGTAGCGCGGGCATGAACTTCAATTGTTCTTGCTGCGAGTATTCGTCCACGAGTTTGCGATAATGCACCCTGAAAATGGGCCTCGTTGAGCTCTGCGAGCCTTTACCAAGGCGTCCCATAATCGCAGAGAATGCGGCCAGGATATTGCGCCTGCGTGCAAACCTCCTCATGCCACAACGATGCCGTTGTACTTGCTCGTCCTTCTGTGAGAATATATGTATCGCGCCTTTACTATACTGCTATCCTTAATTCTCGATAAGGATGTACTTTCTCTCCGACCAAGATGCTTCAACAACAAATGGTCCTTATCTAAATTTAATAGCAAAGGAATAATTCGACATTCGCGTCACGTCATCCGAAAAGACACATGGATTCACGTCGGTTATTCGCACTTTTAACATGAATATCCCACACATTTCTGATCACACATCCACGACACCATACAGCGCACTTTCTAATGCACCAAAGTGCATGCACCGACGTGCCGGTATGTGTCGGCACGTTAAAATATTTGCTGTATCCAACGCCTTTCTCCGAGGAAATATTCCTACAACGAAGTTTCGGCGCCTGTCGCAGACCAAGCGCCTCTTGAAATCCAAATGAAATTCCAATTTACATCTCATAGCAGCAGCAGATGCGCGTCATTCGAGAGAGAAGGAGAGAGAAATCTCCTTGCACAGTTAATGCGATTGGAGATGCTGATATGTATCGTAATGCATACGGTAGCACCAAAGGATAGACATATATTCGAGGAAGTTCTCAAGATTTCTCCTTGTCAGATTATTTCTCTCGCAGGTCTGTCGCAGTAGTCGAATCTCTCGCGACATACGCAGGTATTATTAGCAGACGACGATGGCGACGTTATGAATCGGCGGGACCAGTTCTATCGCGAGCCGTATACGTGTGGCACATGCATGAAGGATCGAGAGTTCCACTTGACGGCGTGTAGCCTTCTCTACGTGTCGCTCTGCATGCCGACCCACGGAAACCGGTTAACGAGTACAGAGTTGCTTCACCGCTTCTTACTCATCGCCTGTCAACTATATACGTAGTCGCTATATATTCTTTTGCACTGCGTTTTCCGACGGATCTTGATGCAGGATGATCTCTATTACCGACATCAGGATGGTATCCGCGTACATTCGAACGCGTAATTCCCTCGTAATTGCACGTACTCCGAAATAATACGTGATATCGGAAAAACTATGGATCTAACAACCATTTTTAAAACTTTGCATCTTTCATTGATTCGTGTTGATAATTGATATGTTATATTATTGATACGTTTCTTTTTCCTTCAACTGAATTCTATTTTTACAAAATACTCCGTTTGCAACTGCACGTATATATCGGTTTTACATGGCATCTTAATGTCACAGCCTTTCATCGTTTCGCCAATCAAATTCGGACCATCGCGGAAACTTGCGAGGGCGGTAAACCGTTCGTTCAATTCGACAGTTTAAAGAGGGTGGAGGTACTTTGGTCCACGTGTATCCTTTCTGTTGTCAATTAGTGAACCTACCGGATGAACTTGATCGGCGCAGATCTCGCTTTCTTCACTCCGTCCGTTCAACGCTCCGACGCACATTGGCGATCCAGGTGCCGTTGCCTTTCGAACGATCGGAATACATAAGTCTGGGTATTACCGTGCTTAACCGGCGATGGCAACATACCTCCCGGTACGTATAGAGAGAGACTGAAGTCCATGAGGAACACGAAGCGAGCCGTTCCGATCCAGCCGGCCCACACTGTTCCATCCCCACCGCGGTCTACGAGGAGCCGAGTGTTGCGACCGACCGCTTTCTTGCTTCAACCGCGGCATTGAACACGTTCAACGGCAGCTGTTGAATACCACGTGTCCCCATTCTCCCTCTTTCCCGCGATCTCTCTTTTTCTATCTTTTTCGCTCGGTCTCTTTCGCTCTACCTGTCGCTTTCTCTTTCTCTCTCCGTCTCTGTCTCCCTCGCAATCTTTTCAACGGTTCGCTTCTTCTTTTTACTCCGCTTCGGCTCGAGAACGCCACTTGGGAGAGCCCAGCGCCACATGTAACGCGTGAGTTTGCGATTCGCGTTCTTTGACCTGCCGTCAGCGCGACATGACGCGCCGCTCCATCGCCGACTTTGACTCCCGGACTTGTATTACGTGTCTGGTGATGTAAAGTACGACTAGATGTAAGGATCTCTTTCTATACCTGCATCTATTTCTTATAACGAACATCTATATACTTCGGTATCTAGGATAAGATTCGCACATCTTCTTTAGAATGTCTATGTGTACCTGCTACAGGTACCTCTGTACCTACTTAAGGTATTTCAAGATAATTCTCCAGGTCGATGCGAAGAAAGGAATCGGAAATGTCAATTAAAAATTTTCGTAAGACCGCGAATATCGATCATAAATTATAAAGATTACCAACTATTGAATGCAGTGCTTTTCGATGCAACAAAAATAGTAAAAAGATAAGAAAATTTACTTTTTATTAAGAAAAAAATAAGTTCAAGCTTCTACACCTTTTCATTTCGAGTTCATATTAACAAATTATTTGACAAAAATGGAAATGGTATGGAAATTGAAATGCAGTATCAATTGCTTCAATGAACGCGGAGAGGATATCTGATGCTAAGATTTTTCATTTTCTATCTATTCTCTCAATCTTCTTTCATACTATTCGAGTAAGCTCCCTTGATCCTTTAGATACGATGACGTTCTTAATTCAGCAAAAGGTATTTAAAGTTTAATCCGAAGAGTGCGCCATTAGGATTGACTAAATGTCAAGGCAATGGCAAAGTGCAAAGTTTCAAGTGCAAAGTCTACTATTCTCAACCCACTAAGGCTCTGCCAACTTACGATGTGTTCTATCCTTTCTGATATCGCCGATGGACCTCGAAGCCTCGAGCGATATTATCTTCCAGACAACAGGAAGAGGCTTTTAGATCTTTTGGGATTCGGTAGATATATATCGATGTTCGACGATATTTTTCATGTATTTGCACGTTCTTTCCTTGGATATTTCACATCCGACTTTCACAATTTTCGAGAATGTCATGATAACAGAGTTTAGATAAGTTGTCGATCATATTAATAAGTTAAAGTAAAAGTAAATAAAAATATTTAGGATTATATGCAAATTCATATTTAAGTCAATCAAAAAGAATTTATCTTTTTATAAGAATTAACAGATTTTCGATTAAAATTATAAATGAAATTACAAGTTAGAATATTTTTAATTTTGTTTAAAAAGATTTTGAGTTAAATTATAGATTTTGTCTAAGTTAATTATTTTAAATGTTTTCTTGTCAACATAGTTTCCTAAATGCCCTGAGAGTTGTCGAGAATAAAGTGAGTGATCCATCGGCTTTAAACGTCAAGACAATTTCCAGTTTCCACTTGAGACACATGCGGTTGTCCACTGCAAGGGGCGACTTGTCACGTATAATATCTTGAGCCAAATCCCGGCATATTTTCGGCGATTTATATTAGCCCGATTATTCGAAATATTTTATTTACTATTATTTTTTATTTTAATTTCTTGAATATAGCTTTCAAATATTGCAATTCTCCCCAGCATCATATTTTATACATTGCAAAAGAAAAAAATAGCATAGAGTTATATTTAAAATTAGATGCATTATACGTAACATTATCATGACAACGTGATATTAAATATTCTTATATAAAATTTAAATGAAAATTTGATTTTATCATGATTAGTAATGTATTTGAGATTTTATATAAGAACATTTGATGTTACGTTGACATGACAGTGACGTTACGTATAATCTAGACTTACTCACCTGTTCTGCAGACTCGGTGATGAAGGAATGGCAGTATTGTAGACTAAAGTGCGCTCTGGGTTCTCGTGCCAGAAAGCTGAATTGGGCGTGCTGCGGCTCACAAGTCGCGTAAGAGATGCGTCTTAACGCGTGCGCCATTTGCACGCACTGCAACAAAAAAAAAGATAATTTTGAGTCTAGAACGATTCTGAAAGGCAGTTGTATATGTAGTTATAATTTAATTAATATTTGCCATTTTATTATATTGCAATATTTGTGACATTGAAGGGATTCAACATTTTAATTAAAATATCTAGCGCAAAAATAAAAAGTGATTTATTTCAACTCTACACACTGACAATTTTCGAAGTAACATATTTTCGAGAATAAGCTTTAGGTTGAATACAAACAAAAATGATTTATGTGAGTTTCATTATTGCTATTATCCTGTTGAATGATTTAATCATTTGAATCAATTTCGTTCTGAAACATTAAGTATGTACATTAAATATTGTCTTAAGACCTGTACAAGAAACTAGCATCCTGATTATACATAAGCAGGATATCATAAATATCACTTATCATGAGTGGTTAGCAACCATCGAGTAAGCAAATTGAAGACGAGAAAATTAAATGATATAAATAGAGCTATAATATTGATGTAAAAATATTTTTTAGCACAAGATTATATATTGTAAAATAGTACAAGGTTACTAAAACAATATCTATAATAATATATATATATATATATATATATATATATATATATATATATAACTTTAGTAATTTTTTATTGCTAATCTATTATTTTATTAAATTTTATTAAAAATGTTATACTAGTTAGACTCAACTAAAAATAATTAATATCACTCTTTATATTTACATAACTCTCAAACAATTATTTGAAATATTTCAAATAATTGAAAAAAAATATCACTAACAAGACAATTAATTCAAATATTGTTACGTCGTTATATAAAGATTCTATTGACACGATAGAAGTTAAAAGGAAAAGTTATCAATTCTTGACCACTCGAAAAACTTGCGATGCTTTAGCTGTTACGTTCTAAAACTTTTAATGACTTACCGGAGCAACAGGCTTCCTTCACGAGATTCGTGATGCGATCTCTACGAGTTTTAACATAAATTTGATCTTTCGAGTTTGTCTTGATCGACTTCGATCGTAATTTCAAAAGAGACGAAGCTTGATTAGAAATTTTAAATATTATTTATTTTTTTCTTTTCAAAGTTATGAGAAAAAAATTGTTATCAGAATAATATACTGATAAGTAAAAATACAAATTTGTTAATTTTAATGCGTTGTTATAATGTATAAATTTTTCTAATAATAAAATAAGCAGTTTATGTTAAATAATATATTATTATTATTGAATTTAACATAATTTGTTGAATTTAAACGCTGTTCTTATTTTGGATGGTACATTTTTAAATTTGATTGTTAAAATTTATAAATAAAGTGCATTTAATAAGTGAGATCTTTTTCTCTTTCTCTAAAAGAGATTTCCAAGATATTTGGCTAATATTTTAGTCAAGAACTTTATATCCTCGAAGCGATTTTATTCGGTTACGATATTTTATCACCAAATGTGGCAATATATTGAGTATGTTTATCTTTATTCAATCTTCATTTTCGCATATTTTAATATTTATCTGCCCATTGTATCGTGATGCTATTATAATTTTGCGCATACTGCACTATAAATGGCAGTACTAATTGTAAAATTTCTTCGACGTATGAGGGAAACTTTGCATTACAACTTGCAATTTTTTCTATAATTAAATTATAGTAATCGCATTATAAAAGTATAAAACAAAATCTTTATATATATTTATAATCAAAATTATTTTCCCAACCAACCTATATATTTGCTAAAATTTTTCATCTTTAAAATTTCATTTTTTCAATTTATTTATTTATTTTTAAATTTATTTTAAATTTAAAAAAACTTAATATAATTCGGCCACACTGGCAATTTATTAGTTAATAATTTGTCACAACGTTTCGACCATGGGTTTTGGTCCTTATCAAGTGGAACTAAAATTCCAAATATAAACAGTAAATAACTTACAATAAGTGTGGGCGGAAAGAGAGAATTTATATACATACAATATCTTAGTAAACTGGCATTATGAGATCACTGTGTCAGAAAGAGTTTTTCCCCGTCATGTCAACCTCTCGATCACACATGCAGAGAAAGACTAAACGGCTTTTATTAGTCTGCTAAAGAGTTAATCTAATAAAGTGTGATCGAATTATATTAAGTTTTTTTAATTTATCTACTGGCGACTTTCAAGAATTTATTATTATTATTTTAAATTTACTTTAAATTTATTTTTGAATTTATTTTTAAATTTATTTTTTCAAAGTAAAATTTTTATCTTAAGCTGTTATTGCACTCAAATCCTCAATCTTAAAGAGAAACACGATTTCATCTTCAAGCTTCCAAGATGATGTACTCACTTAAATTCGTCTCTCGCAGAAATAAGCATGGTAGAGCCCGCGGATGAAGTAGATTGGCAATTGAAAAGATCATCGTTCCCTAGGAGCAAATTTTTTTGGTATGGATACTCTGCGATTCTATCAAGCTTCATACTGAATTTTTCATGATGCCTGCATTTACTCCAAGTAGCAAAGTTCTACGTGAGAAAGATATAAATGATCTGACTCAGTAAAAGGCTGCTTTTACTTACGTCTTCTGGATAAACATTGCTTGAATCGACCTTCTTATTATTACTGTTGTACTATAATATATTCAAAACATAGGACAATTGTTCAGATAAATTATTTGCATGAGTCATATACTTACATTCATAATGAATAATAATCAATGTCAATAATAACTGCTCTTTTATTATCAAACGTATCGATAAATCGTATATACAACATCGTATATAAAGA